TAAAACCGATAGAAACTACTAAGTTACATATAAACCTGTCAATCGTGAACAAAAGCTTGCGTTATCAAACAATACTTACATAAGCGCACCACACTATCATTTCAAAAAGACATAAAAAAAACGTTACAAAGGTGCTCTACTAAACTCAAAAAGCGTCAGAAGTATTCCGGAAACAACACATAAACAAAAACAACTCTTGAAACGTCGATATCTCTGTACTCGACAAATCTCAAAACTCTTAAAAAAACACGTGGGGGCATCATTCCTCCCATCATAATACGTACTCATAAACTCATTAAAACACCATAAAACATCACAAAACTCAAAACACTGTGTTGCAAATACTTGCCCACTGAAGCGCGCTTAAATCGTTATAAAGGACCTCGCACGTCACTAAATATCAGTTCAAAACAAAGATCTGGGCGCTTACATACATACAATTCGACATCACAAAAAAAACGTTAAAAACGATAATAAAAAGCAGGCAATACATTACATTACTGAGCAATAGGGTTAGGATTGTGGAAAAGAGTTCAACGTCCTGAGTTACACAGTGTCAGTTACAGTGTCCAGCGAGCAGTTCTCTAAGCAATACACAGATAGCTAAAGTCAAAGTCTATAAGCGTCTCTTCTCTTGTCGCGTTATTCTGGGTAGTTCTTTATCATCATCTTGTCTTTAATGTCGCTCAATTCTTAATTATACAGTCCTATCCGGTACTGGTCCTTCCGAAGGGGTTCTGAAATCTTCATCTCTTCAGCGTTGTACATCGGTGTCGTACTGTTAACGATGTTAGTCGTCAAGCGCGGTTTCGTCTCTGCCATCGAGCCAGTTAGTTCGGTTCACAAGAAAGACACATCTTCGCCATTTCACTTCTCTTCACAGGATGTCAATGTGTGTAAAACACAATGCCCAGGGTTCTCACACCACGTATCAGGGGTAAATCTCTCTTTCTGGGGTTCTCCACACTTGTCAGGGGGGAATCTCGTCTCGTCTCTATATCTCGTCCCCTTGAGGTACGGGATCGGGAAAGTCACTTTAACTTTACAGTCAAATAAGACACACACAACGAAATACGTTTCAGCTCTCGTCTTAGTCGATCTTTTGGAGCACTCTATAAGACACAGCGCCCTGGGGAAAAGTCCCCAAGACTCTCCAGGACTGGATTCGTCTCTCCAGGACTGCACTCTCTCTATTGCGTCTGTCGTGGAGTATTCGCCAAGACCAACTCAAACTCTCTTTATTCATTTTCAAAACTCTAACCAATTACAAAGCAGTAAAAAGACTCTAGGGCGTAAACTTCAATCATTAAGCCAATCACACTAAGTACTGAATACGTCATATCTTTTGATTAATCGTTCACTACATTAATAACTACGGATGTCAGAATAGCGACGGTATCTTGTAATTAGTTCCAAATCACTGCGCCAAGTTCCGTCCAAAACTTCAAATAGGCCTACACGATGACAGACATAACACAGTAATTCGCTAATAATCAGTTAATTAAGTCGGTTAACAGATACGCAAAAACAAATTCATGACACATCCCTTCACCCAAACTGAGATATGCCTCTTGGCATAACACGTTCATAAATCAAAGATACCGTCCTCTACTCATCGTCATACAGGTTAAATACAAGACTAATAATAAAAGGTATAAATCAAAAAGAGTAAAACACACTAATTAAGTATAATGATTATAAAGTCTAAATACAATGGTTATAAAGTCGCAAATATCAACGGTTATAAATCAAAAACAAGGGAAAGGCTACCAATCGACTCACTTTTCTCAAAACGGTCCGCCGAGGGTAACCCTTCGCTGCACTGTCTCCATTACTAAGGTTACAAACTCTATATCAAAAGGTCAAAAAAAAACTAAGGCGTGGCGGTGTAACCAAGCGATCAGCCAATCGCTGCAGTCGACAGCATGATCACGTGATTACCAGGGATGCGTCTCTGGTTAAAGCATTGCAAAGCGGTAACTAATAAAGAATGAATAAAGGGCTATTAATCAAACTCTTGTCATATACGCTTATAAACTTCAACTGAACTCACAAGTCGTTAATCTAAACAAAAGTCATACGGCGTGGTAACGGAATGCAAAGACAATGCCGCTTTCATAACACATTACTCCTCTGGCAAAAAGACGGAAAAGACTAAAACGATAGAAACTACTAAGTTACATATAAACCTGTCAATCGTGAACAAAAGCTTGCGTTATCAAACAATACTTACATAAGCGCACCACACTATCATTTCAAAAAGACATAAAAAAAACGTTACAAAGGTGCTCTACTAAACTCAAAAAGCGTCAGAAGTATTCCGGAAACAACACATAAACAAAAACAACTCTTGAAACGTCGATATCTCTGTACTCGACAAATCTCAAAACTCTTAAAAAAACACGTGGGGGCATCATTCCTCCCATCATAATACGTACTCATAAACTCATTAAAACACCATAAAACATCACAAAACTCAAAACACTGTGTTGCAAATACTTGCCCACTGAAGCGCGCTTAAATCGTTATAAAGGACCTCGCACGTCACTAAATATCAGTTCAAAACAAAGATCTGGGCGCTTACATACATACAATTCGACATCACAAAAAAAACGTTAAAAACGATAATAAAAAGCAGGCAATACATTACATTACTGAGCAATAGGGTTAGGATTG